CCATTAATCAGGGTGAGCAAAATTATTTTTCCTTGCAGCACATAACATATTACTAAAAAAATAACTTTTATACGAAGCTCAGGTGATGATATCATGTCTTTGTGTGAATCTGAAATGCTAAATTTACATCATTTGAATAAATTAAGGAAGTTCTGTGGATGTATTTTAAGACAAAACCTCAAAGGTCTTCACTTTCTTTGTGACGACAGAAAAAAATCTAAAGAAATCAACCAAAATATCTGAGAATCGCAAATCTCCTCCTTATAAAAAAGGGCTACTTGGAAAAAAATTGGAATAATAAATAGTAATTTCCCTCGAAACAAACATAAAAAAGCTGAATCACAATTTGTGAGTGCACACATGGAAAAAAAGACTATGGCTGTACCCAATAAAAAACTATTCCAATGTTTTATTAAAGCTACAATATGAGTTGCACTGCAGCAACAGTTTCGTTCTCTTTTAACATGCTGTATGACCTTTAGTATCTTGGACACCCTCATCAGGTGTGAATAGCTCCTGCAGAGAGAATCTATTCAACATGCTGAACATCTTATTGACTCCTGACACATAATCTGTGAGCAGAGGTGAAAATGGGTGCTTTTGCAAGCAAGGTGGTAGGAAGAAGAGATCCAATTCTTGCAAACTACAACGAGAGGCTGGCAGAAGAATACAGTTCATGTTTGAGCCAATTCATACAATTTAAAACTGGGGGATTGTATGTAAGCCTTTTAATGAAAACATAATGTAATGGAAATCTCACTTTATTCCTAAATGAAGCTTAAATCGTTTTAGTAATCCTTGGACTGAATGAACAGTAGGAAATAGAGTACCCTTTTCTACAGTGTGTGTAAATACCAGCTACTTGGTAAAAGCTTTTCATTGAGGAATAAAAGGTTAGAGTGGAAATAAAAGAAAGTCAGAGCTGGTTTGATCTGTCTTTTTAGTGCTGATATTTGATAGAAGCAAAAGCACCATCTGTGTTTGGGAGTTTGAGGGGAGAACACGCGAGATCACATCTTCTGTAAGGTGCTGTAAACACTCAACAAATGAACAAATGCCTGAGGTGGGCGTACATCCATCAAAAGGGTGCAACAATTACGCCTGAGTAGAAAAAAAAATTTAAAATACTAGAAAAACAATCCTGAGTCTGCGTAGATTAGGTTCCCCTTTGTTTTTCCTAAAGTGCAGCACATCTGACGCATGATCTCCAGTGGCTCCACATCTCCACCGCTGCCTATCTGACATCAAACCTGCCTTTGAAGCTTGTCATTCTGCATCTCTGTAATTTATCACCCCACAACGTCAAACTAGCGGAAACCAAGCCGCCTGGCGTCAGTCCCCACACCACTTGAAACAAAATCATCTCAGAAATGGACTGCCTCCTTCCCACTTCGGTAAGATACCGGTAACACGCACACACACACAGCCTTCTACTGAACTGTTGAGGAATCTGAATATCGGTAACCACAACTCTACTAAGAATAACCTGCTTGTCTTGGTTACACTATCTGATAGGGCGGCTCACATTCAGCTTATAGTACATAACATAGAGTTGTACGCTGGCTACACCCCCTCATGCACGTCCTGCTGTTCCCTTGCGCGTGTGCAGGAGGAGTGGTGACGCTGAGAGCTGGAGGGAGGTAGCGAAAGACAATAATAATACACGGCATCTATCTAGGTGGTATGCTGACACAACACATGCACACGTGAGGAGGAGGGGAGCGCTGCAGAAGAAAGGAGGTGGAACAACCCATGCAGCTTAATTTATTTCATTCACGCTTTGGAAGAATAAAAATGATTTAAGTGGACACAGAATCAGGGTAATGAACAAAAAAAAAGTAAAAAATGCACCTCTAGTAACATTTTCATTGAAGCAGTGACCTGAGTGTCTTTCCCAACCTTCCTCCTCTGCAAGAAAGCATGCCTGGCTGCTTCGGCATCAAATATTTACTAACCGGCTGAGCTGAGGATGCCCAGTCTTCTGCCATGTTTTAAATGTCCGCTGTTTTATCTTAAAGACAGTCTTGAATACCCTCTTTAGTTTTAATTGGATGAGTGTCAGTGCTAGTTGATCTGACGGGGGCTGGACAGGCAAACCCCTTGAGGCGGCGTCACAGTGGTGTTTAAATGCAGCTCAGATAGAAGGAGGAGCAGGTTGGTTTGCAGGCGCTTTGGATGGAGATCCACGCTGCACACAAACACGCCGATCAATGGACCTTGATTATGGAAACCTCGTGTGTTTTGAACATTTTGCATGTACTGTTTCTGGCATTGACAGTGTTCGATTGTGATCTTTCATAAGTCACTTCTTCTGCTTTAGTAGTAAAAGAGTGAAGAGTATTCCTCCATGAGGCTTCAGTCAGCTGGGTAAAATGTCCACATGAAAAAAAAGACCTTTTGGCAATAAAAGTAGAAGATTTGGGCAAAAACAAAAAACACTTAGAGCAGTGTCCCCCCTTCCTCATCTGCTGCTACAAGCTATAAAACAGTTATGTACAAATTTTAAATTAATAAAGAAAATAGAATTTATTTTTATTTTTATACCCAAATCGGATATTTGACCATGCTTGGTTTCAAATTTAGATGCAAACACCATGAAACTGGAAAAAGGAAGAATCTCATAAAAACCAATCAAGGAAATCATTCTTTAGCAATAATCATGAAAAATAGTTTTATATCAGTTCTAAACAAACAAACAAACAAAAAAAAAACAGCTAATGCAATTTTTCTCTTTAACCTTTATTAACTGAAGCCCATGCTTTATATCCAGCCATTTAGCAAAGATAGTAAATGTTATTTTACATTCGACCAATCAGATGAGATGCAGTAAACTATGAGATGTTACCTAAATTAGTTTTAAAAAGTAAAAAAAATAAATAAATAAGTGAGGTTATGCTGTAAGAAAAAAAAATAGTTTCTTTCAATCTGTTGGTTAGGAAATTCTTACAGAAACGCTTTTTGTTTTTGGTTTATACCTCATTAGGGCAAGTGGACGTTTTTGTTAAAATAACACTGACCTTGATTTTTACCATGAAAATATATTTTTTCTTGGCTTTAAATGTCGATTTTCAGATTTTCACAGTGCCATATAAAAGGATTAATAGCATTATTCCACAGGTGTGTTTTTTTGTGTGTGTGCAGAGTTATAAAAAAGCCAAGAATCAGATACCAGCTCATTATCGACAAACTGGTTAGTTTTCATGATTTGTTCATCAACACTAAAGCAAGAGGAGCTCTTCAGGGTATATTGTGGGGTAAAAACATCAAGTTTACATAACCTTTAGATTATTATATTTTTCTCATTTATTGATTATCATAGCAGGAGTAAGCTACCACTCTTCCAACAAACTGATTTTGCTGTGAAAGAAAATAAGAGGACCCCCCCAAGAGACCCCTTAACCCAACAACTTCCTGCTCTTGCTCTCTGTTCACCCTCTTCTTCCTCGCTGTCCCTCTCTCACAGAGCATGCTCTGTCCTTCTCCTCCAAGCTGACTGACTGGGCCACTTGGCAGGAAGACAGATGGAGGCGTCCTACTCCCCAGCACCTGCCTGGCCCACATTACCCGGCTCATCTCTGGCCTCAGCAAACCAGAGCTGCGATCAGGCACAGCTGCGTAAAAAACAACAGGCTTCACGGCGTATCACAGCAGCCAAATACAAAACAGCACTTCTGCTGAGACTACAGGAGAGCCCGCGAGCGCTGCGCTGCAGAGAGCGGACCTGCACTGAACCACACACAGGAATGTTAGAAAAACAGTGGCCCTGACGGAGTTGGAGACTAAACATGTGGCAAAATACAGCAACACCAGAGAGAAAAAAACAGCAAAGTAAAACATAATAAAACCACAACAAGCCCCGGTGTTATAAATATTATTGCAGATATCGTCTGGTTTTGTTATTTGTCTGGTTGGCACCATGATGGTTCTTTAGTTGGTTTCTTTTTATTGTTTTTCCGTGTTTTATTTGACGTATAGCATAGTAAGAATTTTTTTTACAACAAATAATCAATCAAAACTAAAACAACAAACTATATATATCATTAAGCCCAAATACAAAATGATAAAATAGGGTATTTGACATAAATCAGATTGATAAAAGAATTAAGAAAACATTTACCAACACAACAGCATAACAGGATAATAGTTAAAGAAAAAAACTCTATAGAAATATACCCCACAGAACTTAAAATAAACACATTTCCCGAAGGGAAAAAGTTGCTAAATTGATTAAAGTTTGAAAACATCTTTTATTTTTTGAACAAACATCTTTTTGTGGGGGAACAAATACAACTGTTAATGAAACCATTTTTTCTGACTTTTTTTATTACTTTGTTTAGCTTTTTACAAAGTTAAACAAAGTTATAAACTAATAAAAATACATTGAAACAGAAAAATAAAACTCCTTCAGGGATCCACTTTTTGGAGATTGATAAAATTCAGATAAAGGATGGAGAGATACATGTCTCGTATAAACTGTGGTTATTTCATTGTTTCTACATTTTCTGCTGGAATCAAAATTGATATTTTTATCTAAATAAATCAAAGCTGCACATTTTTGTCGCTTTAATGTGTCGTAATCTTTAGACATAAAAAATCCAGGGAACCAGAAATATGCTTTGACTAAAAAATACATTTAATTGGTGCATCTCTACTGATTTCAGAATCAGGTATACAAAAAATCTAATCTTGAAACTGAGCAGAATTCAAAAGCGTTTTTTTTCTTCCACAAATATATAATATATATACATATATATATATATATATATATATATATATATATATATATATATATATATATATATATATATATATATATATATATATATATATACTGCTTGGTGTAAAGCTACTGGGTTTATATACATATTTAAAGTTAAAAGCCTGCGAGTTGGATGCATTTGAGCTGTTAGTAGGGTAGTGGAGGTCTGATATGATATAGAAATGTATCCAAAAGCCAAATATTAAAACTCCAACACTGCTCATGTGGACACACTGAGAGTTTGAGCCGTGGGAGAAGAAATGCTGCCCTCTACCAGCGGCACTCATTTCACCCCATGTAGGAGAAGCCACACATGTAACCCTCGACAGTGGGAGAGCCACACAAGGCTGCGTTAGTCTTGTCCTTGGAAGTCGTTTCCTCTGTCTTCCTATTCCGTCAGAGACAGAGGAAGCACAATGGTCAGACTGTGCTCAAAGGTTGTGTCCCATACATATGGAAAGGGATGGAAATGAATGAAGAAGGGAGTAACTCAAACCTACAGAGCTCTGCAGAGGCATCATTCTAACTCATGCATTCACCGTCATGTAAAATCAGTGGACTGAACACTGACTCTGCTCATCTGCGGATATTTGGGAATCTCAAACCTAAGCTGTAATCACATAAAGCAGAGTTTCAATGCTTAACTAATATCACTGTTTTCTGGAGAAGCTCGGGTCTCTTTTCCTTTAAAGAAAAAAAAAACAAGCCTCCATCCTTCAGCCTTTCTTTCTTTAACTCAGAACACCACTCAAAACCGGTTCCCATGGCAAAGCGGCAAACCTAACCTGCAACAGTTGGAGGTGAATAGACACGCACTGAACACACACTCACACACACATACAGGAGCTAAATGGTGCAGCTTTGCTCACACATCAGGATGCTGTAAATGTCAGAAGACTGCTGCCTCACTACCCTTCAATATTTTGATGCTTTACAGAGAGTCGACATCACAAAGACCCTGATGTGAAGAGAGTCAGCATCAGTACATGGAAGGAGTGTATGAAAGAATTGTCTGCGTCTGACAAGCTCGTTAACATCTGCAGACGTGCTCAGAGTTTACTACTACAGAGCTCCTTAGATCGGTGTTATTTCATCTATAAAACTCTCAATGTGACTGAAAGTAGCTCAAATTTAGGTCTTCTTCACTCAGTTCAGCTTTCACACTGAGGAATGTTGATTATTGTAATGCTTAAGTGTGACACACCAATAAATAACATCAGCAAACCTGGATTTCTGTCTTTTCCAGTGACTGGCCGTTTATCCTGAGCCTTTTAGATACCAGCTGTTCATTCTTTCCCAATATGATGCAAAATATACAACAGAAATACCCATGTGTTCCAGCACACTGCTTGTCAGCTGGCTGAAAGAAGATTGTAATACTTTTCCCTCACTTACAAGAAAGATACATTTGGCTTCAAATATTACCTATAAAATAAGAATGCTAGATTAATTAATCTAGTTAGCATCATCTTATGTGGGTTTTTTTTTTTCTTTTGCATCAACAATAAAATCAGTCAAACCCACTTTGGTTACTACTTGATGATAACGTTATCTGCTTCTCTGTTCTTGTGTAATGGTCCCAAAAATGTATCTCAACTTGACTACCAAATATATTTCCTTGCAAAATAAAACCCAACTTAAAAGCCCTTTTATTATCCCCCATTTTATTGTCAACAAAAACTCATATCTTTTATTTGTATTATAACTCCATAGATGTGAAATGAATCTGTAAGGCTGAACTAATGCTATCCACACAGGAAAAATTCCTTCTTTTCCCAATTCAACATCCTAAAAGCCCTTTCTGTTGTTTCCTCTAAGGAAGAAAGCTTGATTTGAATAGTGTAGGTGGCATCTTCTCTTCAGTGAGTGATATTGTGTGATCTGGTTGGCACTTGGATTTGATTTTTCACTTGCCAGGAAACTGTTCTGTGAGAGCTTGTTGGAAGAGGAGCTGATTCTGTGTGTATAGTCTGAGTTGCACGTTGATTCTCTTGGTGATTTGCTCTCTTTTTTTTTTTTTTTTTACTAAGAGTCTTCCAAACTTTAATGTACAAGTATGGACTTGTCTGGATTCTGCACAATTTACACGATCCATCAATGATCTTCTTTTTGCAGTATCCTGGCCAGCTAAGCCAAACTTACCTCTTGTGGCTTCTCCATTTCTCCCTCAGCGCTTTGTTGCTGAACACCTGAGGATGCCGCACTACTTTTCATCATGTACGTATTACAAAATGCCACAAGCACTAATATGAGGTGCAATAAGAAAGTTTTTTTCAGTGGCTACACCCAAAGCTACAATATCTCAATCTTTAAGTGCAGCTTCGGCCTCCACTGTTAAATCAGCTTACTTCTGCTGTCAACAAAATAAAGTGCTACTAAATCCTGAATAAAATTTCCACATGTAAATTGTCTTTCTTGTCTTTAGCTGACATTTTAGACAATATTTTGAACTATGGAGCTTTACATTTTTTAGAGTTACCAGTAGAGCTACGCAATACATTGCATCTCAGTGTGCATCATCCCATTCTCTAAGAACTGCTTGGATGCAATATATATATATATATATTTTTTTTTTGTTATGTTTTAAGTGAGATACAGTAATGCTTTGCATGAAAATAATTGCTGTAATCAAGTTGGATTGATGAAAAACCCTGATGATGCAACAAAATTCTCAAGCTAAAAACAATTGGTAATAGAAAACAAAAAAAGGCCTAAAATGTTTATTAACCACAATTAAAACTATAATCTGAGCTATACATTAACTTACCTTTTCCTGATTTAAATGAAAGATGCATCTGGCTCTACTAAATATTTCCAATCATAAAAATAAGGGGCATTGGTAGATTGGATATATATATATAACTCTGCTGTTTTTCCATTTCAGTTCTATATTGATCACAACATTTGCATTTCTGAGGTTTTTGTTCTTTTTTGTTTGTTTTTGACAATTATTTGGTTCTATTTTCCAACAGCAGCAATCTAAACATGCACAAAATTTATCGATCAGATTGAAATGGAATTGGATTAATAAGCAAAAAATAATCTGATGTTAAAGTTTCTATGGAAATAAGTAATTGCAATTGAATGGCTGATCAGATTAAATATGTTTAATGTAAACATGTCATTCCTTTCCTGTTTTACTTACATTACAGCGCCCATATAATCTGTAAAACTCCCTCCATAATAATAATTAAGCAATTTATATGCATCAATCAAGCGGAACACAATGGCGATAGCCATACTGCTCCATTTGTGAAAGTAAAATCTGTTCAGCTCGTTTTGGCATCAAGAAAAAATTTTTTATTGCCACATCCCCAGACAGGACACTGTAAAAAAAAAAACAAAAAAACAAAAAAAAAAAAAACATGCCATTCTGATAGCAGCTAGCCATAGCAAGTAACCACTCAAAGAAGAAACGTGTGTCCTATAAATTGCATCCAAAATAAGTACGATCAGTTGTTTGTGAACCTGTGGACTCCTAGCCACTTGTAACCTTGCTGTCTGAGCTTCTGCAAATAAAGAAAAAAAAAAAAATAAACAAATTACACATTCCTCAAAAGATTCATCTCTTATTATGCCAACAAACTATCTTCCTCTGCATTGTTGAAGATGAGACGGCACCAGGACTGTGGCTCAAAGAGCCAGCCAACTTTGCCACTAAAACACAATTCGGTTCTTGGACCTCAGGAAAATCACACCGAGAGTCGTTCAATGATGTGGTCTAGTAGAGAAAATTGATTTCAGAATTTTTTTTTTATCTAGTAAACTTTATTGTGTTTTCTTTTGCCTGTAGTGTCCAATGCTTAAGTGAGAAATATCAGCTGTGCTGCTGCCATCAAAGCCTTTATTTATAGATGTTGGAGCTTGGCCTGTTTTTCCAGTGTAGTCCTGTTTCTCTGACTGTGACAGGCTGGATGTGCTCTCTTCAACCTCTGACATTGGAGCTGGTCAGAGCTCGTCTGTCTGGCTGTGTGTTTCCTGGACGGGGCCGCCTTTTACAGTCGATTTTTGTATCTCTGCTTCTGTCTCCTTGAACCCCAGTCGGCCTCGGCAGATGGCCGCTCACACTGAGCCTGGTTCCGTTGGAGGTTTCTTACTGTAAAAGGGAAGTTTTTCCTCTCCACTGTTGCTACAAGCATGCTTGGTGTGAGGGATTGCCTTTGAGTCAATAAGTCAATGCCATCAGCTGCTTTCCTTACATAGAAAACTTTGAACAAATCCGACTGTATTATCTGGTTGAATTGTCTCTGTAAAGTGCCTTTAGATGACCTGTTGGGAATTGGCACTACATAAATAAACTGAACTGAATATTCACTCAGAAAGAAGATTTCACTGCATTATATCATTGTTTATTGGTCTTATTTTTATTTCCATTTCTTAACCTTTTTAATATATAATACGCTTTCTTATTCTTTCCACTTATACTTTGTAGTTTAGCTGAATGTTACGAGCTTAGTTAAAGCGTTTGTTTTTTTCTGTATATATGAGCAGAGCTTGAGTATATCGTTCTATATCACCACACCAAGCAGGGTTTAATACAACAATAGCTGACGGAGACTGAGAGCTGTACGGCTAGTAATTCCTGTTAATCTGGATGTGTCCCAACTTGGTAATTTTTACATAAATTACATAGTTGGGTAATTACCTTTGGCAAATGTCAATAGATTTTTTTCATGGCCTAATCAAACCTACTTGTAGAAAATGACAGGCAATCTGAGTCAGACAAAGTTCGGTTAGGCTGAGCGATCAGTATTTGATGCATGTTAGCAATACCTTTCACATGATTCCAAGAGGAATCGCTCCCACAATGGGATGCCAAGTCTGTTTTAAAGCTATATAGTAAGAAAAACTTTCAGAGACGAAAAAAATCCCACATTTAGCGTTAACCAGCTCTTGCTTAACAGCATTACCAGGAAACACCTCTCAGCCAGCAGCTTGGTGCGTTTCACTCCCAGCTTCACTCCCTCTCAAACCCTGATTGGCTCCTCTAGGATTTTCACCTGTTAGAAAACCATCAGGGGTTTAAGTTGGACAAGCGAAGCCATTTTAAATGGTGATGATATGCCACAAGGACGGGGGATGGGTGGGGTTTTGCCTGTGTGAGAAATGCCACCTGCTGCGGGTCTCAGCTGCCCACCCTCTCAGGGCGCCACACCCTCATCAACCCGGCTTCTCCGAAGGCCAGGAGGTGTTCAGCTTAATAACTAAAAGGAAGCAGTCATCCTTTCTGACTCTGCAGAGACAGTCATACATGAATCCTCTGTCCTTATGCTGCACATGTACATAAACAGAACTACAGGGGGGTTCTCTGAATAGTAAGGAGAGACATGCACATGCAGCTTGGGCTTCCTTTCATTTTTGTTTTGCCCTGATAAAATAACGGGTTCA